AGGACCTGTCTGTGCGCGTTTACCTGTCAGGACCTAGGCCCCGGTCCGCGCGTAGGAGTTGTGCTTTGCTTCCTTACTTTTCAGTGTTGTGATTTCTTTTATTTCAAGGTGCTGGACTGTGGCCTGCCGGCCCAACATCCTTTCTATTTCCCTTATTCCTGAGACTACGGCTCAGCTTGACTTATAGTTGAAGACCCCAGAGTGTGCAGCAGTAGAATTCCTCATCATGGGATGATGCTGTCTGATTGCACGTTATCTGGCGTTTTCCCTGGGACACAGTGCGCGGTCATGTGACGAGTGCTCCGTCCGTGTAGCCAAGTGCCTCGGATAAAGGCGCAATTCGTGGTCACTGAGCTGTGCCTGGTGGAGCACCCCCTCCATTCTCACGGTTAGGGTGCCATGTGACTTCAGAACTACTCCTGAGGGTCTCTGGCTGCCCCCTGTGTATGCCCCCCATGGCCGCCCTCCCATCTTCCATTAACAGCTGAGCCCAGACCTGTTGGGGTTCTTTTCGGTTCTCTTCTTACCACTCCTGTGAATCCCATGTGCCGTGAGTGTGCTTCCTCCATTTCTTCCTGTGTGTAGTCTCCTGTTTAAGCGCATCTTTTTTTTTTTTTTAAGTCATTTTATTGGGGGCTCTTATAGCAATTCATAGGAAGCATCCACGATGAGCCTGGGGCACATCTGGGAAATAATAACAAACAAATCAATCAAGAAAAGAACAGGAGCCGACCTAAGGCAGCGTCTAATACTGACATCTGTGCCACTTTGAGCCAGAAACTACAGTGTGACTCCTAACATCCATTAACCACCTGATAGGAGCAACTTTATCAGTGCATACAGTGGTGAGAGAGGAAAGCGAGCGCTTAGAGCACAGTGGCAATAACAGTCATAGGAGGAATACTTGAAACAGAACACCAGGCTCTTTAAAGCACAGCAAGAACAATCGTTTCAGGAAGGCATTATCAGTGGCTCTGCAGTCGTGACGTTGCTGTTGTTTGCTGCCATGGAGTCAGTTCCAGTCATAGCAACTAAGTTATGGTCCCTGATCATGGGCCCTCTCTCTGTGGCTCCTTATTTACATAGCTCTGCCCTTCATACACCTGTGCCTGTGGTTCCATTTTGAAGGTCATTCCATATTTTCAGATGATAAAATCTTATAAATAAAAGTCCCATTTGGAGGAGAAAACAACGGGACCTACATTTCCATCAGGACATATAAGAGGGGGTGGTGGGAGAAAGAAAGTGGTGTTAACAAATCCAGGCAGAGGAAAAAACAAATGATCCAAAATCGATGGTGAGGAGGGTGTAAGAGGCCTGTTTGGGCTTGTTCAAGGGCAATGTAACCTAGAGGAATTACTGAAATCCAAATGAAGGCTAGTGGGAAAAGAGTAAAGTAAAAGGAAACAGAAGCAAGAACTAAGAGGTAAAGGGCATTTATAGAGTTCTAAATATAGGCATGTACCTATGTAAATATATAGAGGATGATAAGGAAATAGATCTATGTGCATGTATTTATAGATTTAGTATTAAGGTAGCAGATGGACATTGGATCTCTACTCAAGTCAATGCAAGAACACTTTGTTCTATCAATAGCATTCCATGATGCTCACCTTCCCAACAGGATCACTGAAGACAAAGCGGGTACATAAGCAAATGTGGTGAAGAAAGCTGATGGTGCCCGGCTATCAAAAGATATAGATAGCACCTAGGTTTTTAAACGCTTGAAGATAAACAAGTGGCCATCTAGCTGAGAAGCAACAAAGCCCTCATGGAAGAAACACACTGCCTGTGTGATCATGAGGTGTCGATGAGATCAGGTATCAGGCATCAAAGAACAAAAAATCATATCATTATGAATGGTGGCGTGTGGGCTGGGGACCCAAAGCCCATCTGTAGGCAACTGGACATTCCCTTACAGAAGGGTCACAGGGAGGAGACTAGCCAGTCAGGGTGTAGTATAGCAACGATGAAACATACAACTTTCCTCTTCTTAAATGCTTCCTGCCCACCCACCCCCACTACCGTATCATGATCCCAATTCTACCTTACTGTCAGGGTAATCCTGCCCCTAACACACCATGCAATTGTACAGTGATATTAAGTAAAGATTGTGGTAAAGTCATAGTATGAGAGATAGAAGAGAGATTGAAATAATGGAGTCGGACACATTTAATGGTAGCAATGCTCACCTCAGCCTCACTTGGTGGTCCACATGGAGAGAGCGAGATATTTAATACTAACCAAGGCTTTTATATTCTCTGGGGACATGCAAGCTCCTTAGTTACAGGTGAAGACATACATCACAGGAAAGGGTTGTGCTATAGGTAATACAGTAATGGGAGAGGGGTGATCTAGGGGTATACATGCAATAGGAAGGGGAGGGATTGGGGGTATACATGTGGCAAGATGGGCCGATCCTAGATTCAGGATGGCAGCCTAACTTTGGATGTCACTGAGCCAGCTTGACCTGTTCCCTTGCTCAACTAGAGACTATTATCAGTAGGATGTGAACTCCACCTACAGGAACCAAGCTAATGGTAGCAAGCCTCAGGGAGAAGTAGCCCATTGTCCTTAGCAGCAGGGAGCAGACCTACCCAGGGTGGGACTAGACAGTAGCCTGGCAGCTGACTGCCTTAAGGGAAGTAACTTCACAATCATTTGCCATTAGCTGCAAGCAGTGTCCTAAGTCTAACATATATTTGGGGGAGATGATTTGGGAGAAATCATTCTGTTTCCCATACCTTACAAATCTGGCTAGACCAGAGGATGTACACTGGTACAGATAGGAACTGGAAATACAGGGAATCCAGGACAGAGCCCCTCAAGACCAGTGGTGGGAGTGGCGATACTGGGATGGTGGAGGGAAGGTGGGGTAGAAAGGGGTAACCGATTACAAGGATCTACATTTAACTAAGGTGACCAAAATTAAAGTGGGACACCATTGACCACGGGGCGAGGGGAGGGGTTCTTGATTAAAATTTTGGTTTATATGGACCAAATAGACCATTCCCTAGCTTGTCGTGCATTCTTTCCAAAATTTGGGCCTTTTTTAAAACGCCAAAAATCAGACTGTCTCACCAAAAGCGGGATGTCTGGTCACCTTACATTTAACCCACTCCCTGTGGGACGGACAACAGAAAAGTCACACGTGAAGGGAGACAACGGACAGTGTAAGACATGACAAAATAATTTATAAATTATCATGGGTTCATGGATGGGGTAGGTGGGGTGGGGGAATGAGGAGCTGATACCAAGGGCTCAAGTAGAAAGTAAATGTTTTGAGAATGATGGCGACAAATGTACAAATGTGCTTGACACGATGGGTGGATGGATTGTGATGAGTTGTATAAGCCCCCAATAAAATTATTAAAAAACGATTCCCAAGAATCCACCAAGTATTAGGTCTAATAAATGAACTCAGCAAAATTGTAGAAGGTGGTAGAACATGCAAAAATCTCCTGCAGATCTGTACGCCAACAAAGAGCTTTAACAGGTCTTGAGGATACCTTTCCATTTATAATAGTGTCTAAAGGGCAGGGCAGGTGGTGCCACACACCTGGGAGTAACTTTAAACACAAGGGAAATACTTGTGCATATGAAAGTATGACACACTATAGAAAGAAATCAGAAAGATTTACATAGATGAAAGTATGTAAGTGGAAAGGCCTGGAGATTCCTTCCAAAATGCCCCAGCTACAGAGTGCCCTGCAGAATCATGTTCTATTCAGCAACACACACACCCGCCCCCCTTCCAGAACCAGATCAGAGACTATCCAGAAATCATACATACAAACTGCAGATCATGGAAATATTTAGGAAACATGTCAAATTATTTACTTTTCACAATATATGAATTTCTACAACTCAAAGCTAACCATAAATGAAAGCTGACTAAAGAAACCTGTATGAATATTTTCTGCAAAGAAGACACAAAATCAGGTTGACTGAAGTAAGTGTGTGGACACACACACTTGTTGTGGTGTCAGTAAGCTCAGGAGAAAAAAGATGGCCAAAGTCTTTAGGGAAATATAAGTCAAACCCAAAATAAGGTCCCACTTCAGGCCCACCAGGATGGCTGTCCTCAAAGTTAACCATTTAAAACAGTACTGCCGCTGTGTGGAACATTCGTGGAGTCTCAAGTTGATGTGGGACTGAGGGTTCACGTGGGGCATCGGGCTTTGATTCCCCGCTTGCATGATCCAGTTCCTCACAGCTTCTCTGAGCTCAATACAAGCAAACCCAGCCCTTCTTGGGTAATCTACAGAAAAGTGATTGTGTGTCCTTGGTAACTCACATTAAAAACACATCTACAAGAGTATGTACTGTTGGTGTTGTCCGTGTTGGCGTTATTTTCACCATATGATAGGAGGCGAGAGAAACATGCATCTGTTTGGATTGAGCCAAGTATATAGAAACTCAAACCTGTTTCCATGGAGTCCACTCTGACCTCTAGTGACCCCGCGATACCAAGTCAACAGACTCCTGCTGCACAGTGTTTCCAGGGATGTGCATCCTCATGGAAGCCGACTGCATGCAACACCTTTCTTCAGTGGGGCAGCTGGTGGGTTCCATTGGTTGACTTGTGGGTTAATAGAGAGACCTTTGAGACATGATGCCACCCAGGCTCCCTGTCAGGTGTGTAGACAGGTCTACCCTGGGAGGAAGCTCTGCCCAGGGCAACAGCTGAAACCCAAGAATCTGACAGCCCCTCCTTACTCAACACTGTCACCTTCCATTTCAGGTCCTAGGCTTGGTGAACAGAGAGCCAGTCAAGTCTAGACAGCTGGAGACCAAGGATGACGGTTTTGGACTTTCATGAAATTCCAAGCAAGGGTTTGTACTGTTCTGCCTGCATGTGGACCAAACATCATTCACCTGCTTCCAGACTGCCCAGTGGCTCTGCCTGCACTAGCAGCCCTCTTCCTAGAGAGACTCCTTGTGCTTAGAGAGCACATTCACGTGCACCTCCAGAAGCTGTAGCCAGGAAATGGTGAGTGCTACAGAGTCCTGGGACTTTTAACTGGATGGAATTATTCGTGGCTATATACTCCAAGGCCTGGAGTACTTCTATCAGGTTTAAGAGTGGTTGGAAAGACCAAAGGCCTCAACCCTATGAATGATCTTAGGGCCTTCCTCCCGTTTCTGGATATTTCCTGCACACATACGTGGTTTTTCAAGCCTTGTATGCCTGCGATCACCTTCCACACATGACTGGCCTTACATGGCCCCATCCTGGCCCTTAGTTCTCTCTGTTGGCTGACAGAACCATGTACTAGAGTCTGAAGATAGATTTGCCCCAATTGAGGAGGCTGAGTCCAAGGCCCAGCAGAGCCATTCTTGCCCCAACCACAGTCCCACCTCTGCCCCTATGTGGTGTGGTAGCTAAGCTGGGAGAGAGTCAGTGGGATAAAGTGCTGATTGTTAATCAGGTTCAGGGGCGGGGCTTGGGCCTCATGAACTCTTCTATGAAATCATTTGTGGCAGCCAGGGAGCCCTGCTGGGATCCGTGTGAGTTCTCCAGATCCATCTGTTCAGGGGAGGTACTTTTTCCTAGAGGCTTTCAGGTGTGTGAGAGACATTTTTTTCCCCCCATCTTAAGTATTAGTCCTCCCACCATTTCTGCCTAGACCTGGTAGTTAGTCTCTCACTTTCATCTGCTCTGCACAACCTGTAATGGAATGCATAAAAAGATGGTTTTCTGGATGAGGTCAGCATGTGAGCTTGATACATTTACCTTCTTTAGAGTTTACAGTTTTCATTGCAAGAAAATTTGTAGATTAGCTTGTGTTTCTGCTGAGAAATGTTCAGTTTAATGGGTGCAAATTCTAAAACTCAAAAATGCTTATTTGAACTGACCTAAGAGAAAAAATGAAATAGTGAAGCATGCTATTTATCTTCCTCTCTCACACATAGGGTAGCTCAGTATTTATGCTTGCTTTTTAATTCACAAAATTTCCTGGAGTTTTTATACCTATGTGTTGTTGTTAGGCGCCATCCAGGTGGTCCCTGCCGTCTTCTCAACGTTCTTATGTTTGAGCACATTGGTACAGCCACTGTGTCAGGCCATCTGTGGGATGTACAAAGGCTTTTCCCAGCTTGTCTCCCCCAAATATATGTCAGACCTAGGACACTGCTTGCAACACATGGTAAATGATTGTAGCACACTTGGAAGTCAGCTGCTTACAAGTTTTCTCCCTGAAGGCATTCAGCCATTCAGAGCAATCAGACTATTGTCTGTCCCACCTTAGGTTGGACGCACACCCTCCTGATAAGGGTGGTGATTGTTTCCTGGAGGGCCCAGAGAAAAGATCTAGACCAGTGGTTCTCAGCCTTCCTAATGCCCTGATCCTTTAATACAGTTCCTCATGTTGTGGTGACCCCCAACCATGACATTATTTTTGTTGCTACTTCATAACTGTAATCTTGCTACTGTTGTGAATCATAATGGAAATATCTGATATGCAGGATGTATTTTCATTGTTTAAAATTGGACATCATTAAGGCATAGTGATTAATCCTAAAAAATGATGTAATTATATATCGTGAAATATTTCTTTCTAATTACAAATAAATGAAATTTTGTCTTGAAGCATGGTGTAGCATGGGTAATAGTATTCACGCTGGGTACTCGTATGTGAGCTTATCTGAATGTGGGTGAACCCACCTGGAGACAGATAGAGGAGCCCTGTCTCGGTTGGTGACCCCTGTGAAAGGGTCATTGGACCTCCAAAGGGGTCGAGACTCACAGTTGGAGAACCGCTGGTCTAGGACAAGGTTAGGCTGCCATCCTCAACCTAGGATATGCCCATCTTGTCACATGTGTACCCCTAATCCCACCTCTTCCTATTGCGTGTCTACCCCTAGATCATTCGCCTCCCATTGCTGTATTGCCCATGGTGCAACCCCTTACTGTGTGTGACGTATTGGTTACCTGTAATCAGGGGCGCTTGTGCACCCTTCTGTATATATAAGCCTTGGTTAGAAATACAGCCTCTCCTCCTCCCACTTTCTGTGCAGACCTGGCTGCTGAGATCACGGCCATCCAGGGGCTGAGCATGCTACCATGAAATGTCTGACTCCTTTATTTTATTTTCTTTCCTACCTCTCCTATCCTCTATGACTTTACTATGATCTTGATATATTAGTGCTGTACACGTACACCTCCAACCCCCCACGATTGTCAGAGGTTGGTTACTCTGACATCCATATTGTTGAGGGCCTTACTCTTTTTAGTTGTCCCTTACCAAGCATGATGTCCTTATCCAGGGACCGGTCTCTCCTGACAGCATGTCCAAAGTAAGTAAGACGAAGTCTGGTCATCCTTGGCTGTAAGGAGCATTCTGGTTGTACTTATTCCAAGACATATTGTTTGTTCTTTTGCCAATCCATAGTACTTTCAGTATTCATTGCCAATAATTCAAATGCATCGTGCTTCTTCCGTCTTATCCAGTGCCCACCTTGGACATGCATATGGGGCAGGCCATTCAAAATTCCTTGGTTTGGGTCAGTCACACCTTATTCCCCAAAGTAATCCTTCTTCAATGCCCAAGGCCAGATGTTATTTGATCTCTTGACTGCTGCGCCCATGAGCATTGCTTGTGGATGCAATCAAGATGAAATTCTTGACACCTTCAACCCTTCTTCATTTATTGTGTGACCCACTGGTGCAGTTGGGAGGATTTGGGTCTTCTTTTCATTGAGTTGAAATCCATACTACAGGATGAAATTCTTAGTGTTAAGTTCTTACAAAGCTGCTAGTCAGGTTAAGCTGCTGGCAGATCTCTGCTAGCCACAGGCAAGGGTCTTGACCAGCTTTCTTGTCAGATAGATATTATTGTAGTCGTGATTATACTGGATCGAAATTGATACTTGGTCAGTTGACCCCCCCTCCCCCCCGCCCCTTTTGAAATCATTTTATTGGGGACTCTTACAGGTGTTATCACAGTCCATGCATACAGCCATTGTCTCAAGCACATATGTACATATGTTGCTGTGTTAGACAGGGTTCTCTAGAGAGATGAAACCAAATTGCTGATAATTCAATATATTTATTTATAAAGATAGATATATAACAAGAAATGAGATGTTAAATCATATACAGATAAATATATAATACAAGAAATGAACAGTTAAATTAGGAAGCACTACAAATAGCTCAGTGCAACTCACTGCCGTGAGAGAGATGTGAGAGACTAGCAGTCCTTCCAGTCCAGTCTGCTGCTAGATCTTCCTCTATTTATAGAGAGAGCTAGGCTACGTCAGCACAGCAGCCAATCAGAAGGCAGGTCACCAACTGCCAGCCAGGTCACCAACTGCCAGTCCCCAGCTCCAGCGATCTCTTAAAGGGACCTCAACTTACAGCGACACAGTCCATAGGCTAGGCGTCCCACAGGTCGTGTAGCCTGTAAATTGAGGCACAGGACAAGCAAGGCAGCTGCACACTGGTCCGATGATCAAAGAGCGAGAGACAAGAAAGGTGAGACTCACTAAGGCATTTATCTCTCTGCCCTTCAGTTAATCCCACTTGTGTTTATCGGCCAGGCTGGCACAATAAACTCTCTCAGTTGCCATCATCATTTCCAAAATATTTTCTTTCTACTTGAGCCTTCCCCCACTCCCCTCCCTCCCAGTTGACCTCCCTCTTGACCCAACCTGAAATTCTTCTGGGTATAAGTATTTCTGACAAAAATTTCTCTCCCAGTCTTTTAAATATTCATGATGATCATCTTTCTTACTCACTATTTGTATAGTGAGCTGGCACCGAACAACAACAGCATATCATGCATAAGTGCATATACTGTCCGTGTCTGGCTTAAATAACAGGAATTTGGATTTCTGATGATATGTAGACTTTGTCAGTTTTTATGGCCTCCCAGTGTGTTCCAATCTGAACTCTTCTCCTTCCTGTCCGAAGATTATTACTACGTGCATTTGATGACTTTACTTTTGCTAGGATTCTTATTGTTACAATAGACCCTGAACTGTTTTGTTGTTTTATTTTCATAACAACATCCTGTGTTGTCATCTCTCTGTATGTGTGTCTGTGTGTGCGAGTGAATGTTTCCACAGCAGTTCTAGTTCCCATTCAACAACTTCTACACAATTAGTTCTATGAGATAGATTACAGTCTTCACAATTCATGAACAGACTCATGGGTCTGCTCTCATTGTTCACTTTCCATGAATCTCATTTTCCTGCCCTTTACAATTTCATCATTTCTTAAAATTATTGTGGTCCTTTAGTCTCAAAAAGTGGTATTTATTGGTAGCCAGTCTGTTTCAGCCAAGCTGAAAGGTGGCCACCGGGCTCATTGCAGTTCAGGTTTTAAAGAGCTTCTTGTGCCAATAGTCTACTGGAGGCCTTCACTTCCCTTTTAAACCAGTAAAGCTATTGCTGGTTTTTGTTTGTTTGTTGTGTAAATTTGAGATTCTGTTCCACATGTGCTCCCGTTTTCTCAAGGCCCATCCATTGTAGCTGGGTGACGTCATGGCCTGTGGTGTACCAGCCCAGGATGAACTCATTCGGAGAGACATTCTCGTGCAATCCTTACATGTTCCTCGCAAATTCCACGCCAACAGACACTTTCTGTTCAGATTCATTGTGAGCCACTGAAAAGCATTGCTACTGTCCACTGAATGCTCATGGACACTGCCCAGCAGGGTCCCAATAACTGGGGCAGCACCCTGGTTGCTTCCTTCATAGCTGCCCATAATGGAGGCTAAAATGACCAAGTGTGCCAGGAAAGAGTCCTGGGAGCAGAGGCCAAGGTGGCAGAGGTGCCAGCATGTGCACTGGGACTTCCACTGAGGGGGAGTTCTGCCATCGCCAGTACTGCTCTCCTGTCAGGCGATGACAGGAGCTCAGTCTGAGCTGGAGCTGGGGCTGGACGCAGGCCTGGGTTGGGACCAGGAGATACTGCTGCATCCAGTGCTGTGACAGGAGTGGCAGGAGGAGCACTGGCTGGTGGAACCAGTGTAGCCGTCTTGTCGA